ATTTCGAGGTTTAACTTCTTCAGTTAAACTACTACCTAAAAGAAAACATACAAAATTATACAGTTCTACTATCAAATAAAAAGTTATTATATAAATTGAAATTCTTTTGCTGAATATTTTGATTATAAATATTTTTCTCCTAGGATCGATGGAATCTAATGTTAACTTTCTAACATTTCCATTATGAAGACCGATTAAGTCTCCTTGCGATCAGAGTTCAATATATTAAGAAGAATTAAAGTTTATTTCGACTAGTGTATTTTTATTACCTGATGTTGAAGTTGGTTGTGTAGTATCTTTTGTTGTTGCTTGACGTTTTGTACGTTTTGGTGATGGTGATGATGTTTTTTGACTTGGTGTTGAAACACGAATATCTTCAGTTGTTTGTTGTTCTTCTTCTTCGTCTTCATTTGTTGATGAAACAGGTTTTCTAGCACGTGTTGAGTGACGTGTTGGTGGTGTTGATACTACTGGTGTTTTAGCTTTACCACGAGGAGACTATTGTACACAAAAAAAAATTTTTAACAAATTAGAAAAATAAAAAAAAAGGAAATTATTACTTTAGTTTTGCGTTCTGGTGTTGCCTCAGGAACTGTAACTGATGTAGGAATATTTTCATTTGATGTTGATGTTGTTTCAACAGGAGGAACATTATCAACATTAGTTGTTGCTGATGTCGATGATACATCTTCTTTAACAACATCAGTTGATGTTGATAATGCAGGTTCAGGTTCAGTTGATACTGGTACATCAACTGGTGGTGGTGGCGGTGGAACTGTTGATGTAAGATTATCCGTTTGTTCATTTGATGGTTCCGGAATGGCTTCATTTTGACTTGTTTTTTCCATTGGTTGTGGTACTTCTGATGTTGAAATAGTTTCTTCCGTTGGTTTAATATTATCTTTAATTGTTGCATCAATTGGTTGAAGATCATCAACAGTTATTTTCTCATTTTGTCCATTAACATGTACATCAGTTATATTATTTGTACCATTATTTTCACGAACAGATTCTGTTGTAGTTGAACCTTCATAATCATTAGTTTTAATATTTTCTCCATTAATAACCGATTGTGATGATGTTTCTAATTTGTCAACTTCATCATTATTTTGTTGTTGTTGTTGAATTTTTGTTTGTGATACAGTATTACCAAAAATTGGTGTTGTTGTTGTTGTTGTTGTTGATGATGATGATGATTCAAAATTGTCGACTTTTTGCATCGACATTAGACAATTATTTTATTTAGGTTTAATTGAATAAGAAATCTGAAATAACCACTAAGTTCATAGAGTACATTCGAAAGGTTTTCATGGAAGCAAAAAAAAATGATTTAATGATTCTAGATGATTTTTTTCTTTGGTTTTGAGAATTCTTTTTTTTGTGATGAAAAATATTAATAAAAAGAAAAAAAGAAAAAAAAAAGTTAGTTTATTTTTCAAAAATCTTTGTCTATTGCCTGTGAACAATCTTTCTGTCTTGTATTTTTCTCTTTATTGATTACTGACTCATGTCTTTGTTCAATTTAAAGTGCATAAGTATCTTAAATATAAAGAAAAAACAAAAGAAAATAAAAATATATTTAAGATCATATTTATTTTATTTATATCTATAAAATAATGAAATTTAATATAAAAAAATTTTCGATTAAGATTTTGATGTCAAATATGTCAAAAAAAAGAAAACAAAAGACGAATGAAAATATCCTCGAAATAAAAATACAATTGAATAAAAATGGCTGCAATTATAAACAACGCTATTTTTTTTATTTTTTATTTTTATTTATTTATATATTAATGGTTCGTCAATTAAATGATTCATAGAACTTGTCTGTTCTTTTCTATTTGTTAGTACTGCAAAAATACGATCAATAACAAGGACTAAAAATATTCTTTTTCCGAGGGGTTAAGTAAATCTAATAGAATATTTGACACATTCATGCAAATAATATTGATGCTATTGTATACTTAGTAAAATGGGAGAAAAAAAAAAATATTTTTTTAATTTCATATTTATAATAAATAATATTTAAAAAATCTTTGTTAAAAAAATAATAAAAAATTTTTGTCGCTAGTATCTATGTCATTTGATTATATACTAGTGACAATAGAATTTGTTATGTTTGTAAGATTTTTACCTGCGGGAGAATTATGAATTCTATGCTAACATTAGTAAATGTTATAAAAACATTTGCATTAACAAGTTAAGATTTCTAATGAATACAATAAACTTCAGGAAAATTCTTTTAGTCTATTAATAAAAATATTATTTGAAATAAAGGCATTGATACATACTTCATCTTGTTTTTTCTAATGATTCTTAATATACACTTCACAATTGTACTATATATATATATATATATGTAAATGAAAAAACATGTATATCATAAAAGCGCACAATTAATTAATTATAAAAATTTTTCACAACACGTGGTTCGTGCATGAACAGCTGAAGTATATATTTTTTGTTGACGATATATGGATACCTTTGAAAAATATCCTTGTTGGAGACTAACTGTTTTTTTTATGTCCTGTTAATCAATCTAAGTGCATAAACGCGTTGAGTATACTGCGTGATAGAGAGAAAAATACATCAATTAATTTTTATTAAATGTATTCTATGAATACAGTTCTCGATATGAAGAATAATAAATCTTAAATATAAATATGTATATTTCAAAGTAAGGGTTAATTATTGTGTATTTTATTTGCTTTGCTTAACTCGAATAAATAGGTCTAATAAGAAAAAGAAAGTGATCATTATCAATTAGTAAATTAATCGATCATTTTTGTTTTTCTCTCATCAATATATATATTTTTTCTATTTGATGAATCAAATAAAGTCTATTAATTGAGTTCGTTTTGTTTTTCTTTTGTGTTAATAAAAATTTGCTAATGTCTATTACGACGAATAATATATCTGTTGAAAATCTCGATGAATTTGATCGACAAAAAAAACAAGCAGAAATGATTCGTCAATATTTACAAGTTACAAGTATTGATACAAATTCTTTACCTATAAAACATTCGACACTAGAATCTGATTCTTCTTCGACATCATTGACAACAAGTAAAAAAAAAAAAAAAAGGATAATTATAATTGAATATAATTTCTTTCTTTTTTTTTTTGTTTTTGGTGTTATCTATAGCTCTATTACCATTATCATCAATTAATTTTAATGAACTTCGAAAAGATTTAAAATTGGCTGAAGAACGTGTTGAACGTTTACGTCAAGAATTAAAAGAAATCCAAAAAAAACGTGATGAATCTTATTTAATAACATCACCACCACAATATGTATTACCATCAATTAATAAGACTAATACAGATTTTTTAAATCATAATCTTTCAACATCTACTAATAGAGGAATTATAGATAAAACACCACCACTTTTACAAGAAGTAAAATATTTCATACAAAATTTTGTCTATTAAAGTTCTTGTTGGTTTTTTTTTGTAAGTTTTTATCATTGCACCAACAACAACAACAACAACAACAACAACAAAATCCAAGACAACAGATTAATAGTGCAATTCCATCATCATTCTTATTATCTAATTTTAATTCTACTAATCATTTATCGACAAATCCAGGTGAGGTAAGCGCTGCTTATAGTTTTCGGCATTCTTAATTTTATGATTTATCAAATGATTTAATTATAAATATATTTATTTATTATTCAGCTGATATACCTAAAGATTATCGACAACAACAATTTCTTTCAACAATGCGTCATCATCGTGAACAACTTGTTATTTATATTGATTCATTAAAACAAGCACTTAATTCACTTGATCGATTAGCTTCATTAGAACCAACATGTAGTGAAATTCATCTTGCTAATATGAAGTAATTAATTAATAAAAAGTTTTTATCTGAAATCTATATTTTGTTTTGTTTTTTTTCTTAAAAGAATTGATACAATTCAACAAAAAAGTCGACAACTTCGTGCTTTAAAATCAAATCGTTCATCTCAACAATCGCCATTTATTGAATGTCGTATACGTCAATTAGAACATGATTTAGTTTATATGTTAAGTGAACATCAAAAAGATGTACAAGCTAAACTTGAATTAAATGAACAACGAAGTCGTATGTTACTTAAAATAATGCAAGTAACAGATGAATTAGCTGCTGTTGATCAACAAATACAACAGTAAGATTAAAGATTTCTTTTATTTTTTTGTATTTAAAAATTAATATTTAATTTAGATTATTATCAAACAAAACATTAAATACGAATATACATCAAACAAATCCATCTAATGAAATCAATCAACAACAATCATTAAGATTCATTAATTCAACAAATAACCTTGATGGAAGACGTGTTTCATTTCGAGAACCAACTGACAACAATCCCTTGACAAAATTAACTAATGTATATTATCTCCATCATCATTAAATATAAGAACAGAATCTCTCATTAATATTTTACATCTTGTCAGTCTGATATTCGAACAATATATAGAACCAAATAGAACAAATTTCAACGTGAATCTCTTCTTATCTTTGCAATATATTAATTTATATATAAATATATGCATTTTTTTTTTTGTTTCACGTGTGCTTTTTATTTTTAATAAAATACTGATTAATGCGTGATCTCTCAAGAGATGTTCTATGGAAATGAATAATGACGACATGAAGAGAAAAAAAAGATAGGCTTGGGAAAAAAAAAAAGGTCTACATAGCTCAATTACAGACGAAAGAGAAATGAGAATAAGATCGAAAGAAAAAAAAAAAGAACAGAAAATATACGTCATTTGTTTTCTTCTCAGTAATACATTAGGATTTGGAAAAGAAAATGAAGACATACGAAGTAACAAAAAAAAAGAAGAGAGAAAAAAGACAGTAGACTACATGAGATACAAAAAAGAAAATAATAGTTCGTTGTTACATGTACACTACGGTAATCTCCGGTCAAATAATTAGATGAACGACGACAACGTCTACTCAGTGGAGGTAGATAGGTAGGTTAATTGTTTCTTTTTTTTTTCACTTGATTTAAATCTAGAGTTCATGTATAAAAAAAGACAATAAGAAGAAGAAGAAGAAGAAGAATAAAACTTACGCAATAAGAGATCATGTAAGTAAATAGTAATATTGTATCGATAGATTATTTTTTTTTATCAGATAGTCTCGATAAATTTAAACAATAATTGCCAATAGCAATCTAAAAAAGCATTCAATTTGTTTTCGTTCTTGTCGGGAATTGATTATTCTGAAGAATAGATGAATAATAGCTGCATGATTATATATAATCTCATTATATATGTATGTGACGTGTATTCATTATTCTTTATTTATTTGAAGTTGTAATAAAATGCGCAAATCTGCAACAACTATTCTTCCACGTTCTACATCGACTCATTTAACACCTACTCAACGCAAAAATTCTTCAACAACAACAACAACAACAACAACAACACAACTTCCACATAGTACAAGTCATCATAATTGTCAAAAATTTATTTCAAATAATACAAATACAAATAATAATCGTTCACGATCAATTTGTAGTCGTACAAATTTTTTTACAAGTCCAACAACACATGAATTATCTCGTTTTGAACCTATATTTAATCATGATACAGATTCATTAAAAATTGGTGATCGAATATATGTTAATGGTCAATGGTCAGGTATTATATTATATATTGGTGAAACAACATTAGGTATTGGTGATTGGGCTGGTGTTATACTTGATGATCCATCATTAGGTAAAACAAATGGTATTGTACGTGGTCGATGTTATTTTCAAACAACAAATAATCGTGGAATATTTTGTCGTTTAACTAAACTTACTCGAGAAAAAATTTTATCTTGTGAAATAGAACAAAAAAAATGAAAACAAACAAACAAAATGTAAATATTTAAATACTAAAATTCTACATATATAATGAATAAGATAAACAAAAACAATGACAAAAAAAAGTCATTCTCTTTACATAATTGAACAACGTAAATTATTATTATTATTATTATTATTATTATTATTATTTTTATGTAATTTTCTTTTTAATTTACTTTTATGTTCATGTTTATTATTACCAAAACGTGTAAATAAACGTGATAAATCATTTAATATTGAAGAATTATTATTTGTTGTTGGTTTATAATCAGAAAGATAATCTGTCATTATTGTTTGATTATTAAGATAATCTTTTTCATCTGGTAATGGTATATGTACATCAATATCAGATGCATAAATATTTTCTTTAACTAATGATTTATCATATTCATTATTATTATTATTATTATTTGTAATTTTATTTGGTTGAAATGTTGTTGGAAATGGATTTGTTAAACCACAATGTAACCAACTAAACATTGATAATGGACGTGTTTGACGTATATCATTATCAATATCATTTATTGGTTTACAAAAACTAAAACTACGTATTTGTTCATCTTTTTTTGTTGAACGAAGATTAACATCAGAAATTTTTTTTATTGGTATTGCATATTCAGGTTTTGTTTCTAAAAGATTTTTTTCATTAGATGATATTTCAGATGAAATTTTTGGACTATTTAATGATATAGGATTTGATAATATTGGATTTTCATTGATTTGTTTTAATTTTGATGACTAAAATAAAAATTTAAGTATTGTACGGATACAGTTTGTCGTAGGGACTAAAAATTATTCCGCAAATTCTCTTAGAAAATGTTTTCATCCTCGGAGTGATGACTGAGGGAGTGGAGCGGCATGATCCGGCTCGTCTCACAACAGACGTCCTGTCGTCAGGCACTTGTCCTAATCCTATTCATCTTGCAACGATAGCCCTGTCCATACCCGTACCTATGGGTTGCATTACTCTAATAAAAATTTCATATGACTTAATAATAGCAGCAGCGTCAGGATCTTTGGTCAAGAGAACTAAGTCTTCTCAACCTTTCTGTGGAGCTGTCGTTAGCAATAATTTTAAAAATTTGCCGAGAGTTCAACTTCTTCCTCCTCCTCCTCCGCTCTTTTCTCTCGTGTGTGGTGTCGATACGAATTAATAAATAACTTACATCATTTGTTTCATTTTGTTTTTTATTATCTATTGATAATGATGAATTTGATTTTTTATCTTTTTTAAGTAATGATGGTTTAACATAGATTAATTCTAGATTTGGATTATTTGAACGTAATTTATTAAATTCTCGTTCTAATTCTTCAGTAACAGAAGATTTATCTGGTTTATTTATTGTTAATATTGATGATGATGATGATTTTTTATTTAAAAAAATTTCTGTTGATTGTACAGAATTTGATAATAATTGTATAGGAATATTTAATGATTGTAAACCATTTGTTTTAAGAGTTTTAATTAAATTTCGAATTTCTAAACGTTCAAGTGATGTAAAACTTGATTGACTATGATTACGTGATCTTGGTGTTAATGTATGATGTGTTGAATTAGAACAAAGACTATCACGACTTAAATCTCGATGATGAGGACTAAAGAAAAAAAGAAAACAACCAACAAAGTTAAATAAAATCTTGAATATAATAAAGACGACAAAAAAAACACACGACATACGTTAATGATGTACTTCGACTTGATGTTTGACGAAGTTGTCGAAAATCTTCCATAGCAGCATTAAGTAATGGATCATGACGTAATGAACCATTTAAAATTTTTTGTAATGATGAATGACTACTACAAGTACTTAATGAGGATGATGATGATGATGATGACGATGATAATAATGGTGATGGTTGTTGAGTAGATTGATTTTTATTTTTAGTAGAAATAATTGTATCATCTTGATATATTGGATTATTAATAACTGGTACTTTATCTAATGTTGTTATACGTACAATATCTTGTTTCGGCATTTGTTTTTGTTTTGGTGATGATGATAAATTTCTTTTATGTAATTGTTTATTTTGTTTTGATAAATATGAATTATAATAATGATTATCGTGTATTAAAGGTATATCTTTTCCATAATTTATATTTAAATTTGATTGATTTAAATGATTCATTGAATGCCATGAATGTGCTTTAAGTAAATTTCTTGAATTTGATTGATAATCTGTTTCAGATTTTGTTTTTGATGTTGGATATTGATGATTTGATATAGAATAACGTTGAGAATATAATGATGTATCAATAGAACGATGACGATTCATATGACTTGTAGATTGTTTTAAATGATTATAACGTGTATTTGAATATGATGAAAATGATTGTGGAATTTTTGATGGTAGATTATGATGTTGTTGATGAGATAAAATAAATGGTAATGGATAAGATATAGGTTGTGGTAATGGTGGTGGTGGTTGATATGATGAAGGAAAATATTGTTGAGAATTAGTTGGAAATTGAAAAGGATTTGAAGACCATGGAAAAGAAAATTGAAGATGTGATGAATCCATATAAAATGGATAGGATATTGGTTGTTGCATTGTTAAATTCATATTTATTATTAACTAAATATGAATATTTTGATAGAAATAATTCTTACCGAACTTTTATTTTTCAAATAATTTAAAATTCAATAGTTTATGATGAGTTTTCTTTTTTTTTTTTATCACATCACACTATGCAGTCAAGGTAAGTTGTGTTGTTTTTTTTCTTCTTTTTTTTTACTCTCCACTAGAAATCAAGATATGGACACGGTTAAAACTCAGTAAGTGAAGAGAATATATATATGCACCTTCAAAGGTCACACTCTCATCGTGTCCGCATGTTCAACGAACCGAAACCGTGGCAACAATAAGAACAATAGACAATATGAATGAATGAATTCATACATATAGATAAGTGATGTATAGCTATATGTATTTATATACATATTCGTTATATCTGATACTCTCTTGAGAGAATATAACGTAGGAAAAAAAAAAGCGAAGAAAATGAGTTTGTGCGTGCTCCTGTTCAATGTCTTGTTCATAGACATGTATATATCCTATCGACATTGTCATTTTTAACGAAAGCATTTGGTCAAAGTCATTTTGGATTAATGATGATTAATGTGTAGACACAAAGAAATAGGAGAGGAAAAAAAAATTTCTTTTTCAAATGAGAAATGGTCATCGATTTACAATCAGTTCAACTTATCGAATAATTTTTGACAAAATTTAAATCTTATTTTTTAAAAGTTAAATTGTTAATTTGTCTATTGTTTTTGATTTTATTAATTATTTCTGAAGAGAATTTAAAAAAAAAAACAAAACATAATGGTTCAATCTCGTGTTTCATCGACTAGTTAAGACACAAATAATAAAGAATATCACTAATTGTCTATTTTTCAATAATAACATTGGACAAGAAGAGTTGCGGGCGCAAGTATTGACCTCCTCATAACCTACACTCTTATTCGTTTGAGCACTAGTAGTAATCCACATCTACGATGCTCTATCATTTCCTTAAAAAAAATGAATAAAACGCTCAATTATTAGATTTTAGTCTGTTAAAAGGAGAAAAAATTGTCGATGAAACGGTATGATACTCAAATGATCAATCATTTTTTATTTGGTAAATGTAGTTATGAACGATACAGAATGATTATCAATGATATTCTCAACTTATTGAGATCAAAAGAAAAGACATTTGAATGAATCTCAATTATTGGTTTACCTCCTTCACGAATGGTTATTGGTTATGCAGAATCAATATAATAATTCGATTTAAATCAAATGATATGTCAACAATCATTATTAAGATACACATTGTAATGCACTTGCACTTAACTATCAAAGTTTACGATTAAAAACTTAATGTGACAAAGTTCATAAAAGCGCATTTTGTTAAGAAGTAAAAACACAAACAACCTTATTTTTTTCATTGTATGGGAGTCGGATAGTTATTCGCGGGTGTAGGAGGCTTTCTTGTAGGATGTAGACGTGGGAAGTGAGATATATAGGTGTGGATCTTCTCTTCATCTATACATACGGGAGCAAATGTCCTAGAGAGCTACTGTTCTGGCAATCAAATGTCTTAACGAGTAATTATCGAAGCAAGCAACTGTCTCGCAAGCAACTGTCCTAGACCCAGCTATTCTCGTCTATATTTAATATAATTAGGAATCATTTTAATTGATAATCTTAGGAATGTATTGAGAAAGGGCCCAAAGGAGAGATTATCAAATGGAATCGAATCGGAGATTGTACCAATAATCGATATTTTACATAAAAGTTTTTATGGATATTCGATGACAGAATATCGATTGCAAAGAAAATTTGTAGACAATTTTATATTAAATAATAAAATTGATTTATGATTCAATGATTTTAATACATTCAAAATTTGTTGAAATCAATCGATATATTTGGATACTAATGTATGTAATATTAAATTTCTTTTCATCGTTTTTTTTATTTCAATGTAATATTAAATTAAATAGTAATAACAATAAAACAGAAAAAAAATTATTATATTAAATAAGTCTTTGTCTTTTTGTTTTGCTTATTATTTTACAAAAGAAGACAATCAGTTTTTGTTAATGTATGACATGTATGACTTTGTCCAAGTTCACATCGACATGTTGTCATACTAAATGCATAGTTTGTTGGACAAATAAAATCATAACGAAGTAATGTACCATCTGATGGTTGATTATTAGTTGTACAAAAATAAAATTTTGTACAATCATACATATCTCGATAAAGACCAGATCGTCGACCAGCACAATCAAATATTGGTGTTGAACCACCTGATATACCTAATAATTGACCTAAACCATTTAATGCAAACATAGCTGATTGTGGAATATTTGATTGGATTGTTGTTGTTGTTGTTGTTGTCGTTGTCGTTGTTGTTGTCATTGATGGATGTGTTACACAAAATGTGTCACCTGTTGTTTGACATGAACGACCTGTTGGCCAATCACATGTACATGCATCCATTGAAAATTCAAGTCCAGGTGGACAAAAAAATATATGATAACGTAATGAAGATAAATCATTGCCTTCGCAAAAATAAAATATTGAACAATTTTTACGATCACGATATATTCCATTACGACCAGCATGATGACGAACACATATATATTCAGCATTATATGTTTGATGTGCAACTGGTGGTGGTGCTGTTGATTCAACAATAGGTGTATAACTTGTTGTACCTGATAAAATACTAAGAGCATTTAATAATTGTTGTAAATTATTAGGTATTATTGATGATGATGATGATGATGCTGGTGGTAAATTTTGAGCTTGCACATTAACAAAACGAACTGTTGGAGCAACAGTAACAGGACCCATAGCAGCTGGCATTCGTTGTTGAATAGATATTGATGATGGACTTGTTACTGGTACAGGAAGATTGAGAGTTGAAAAAACTTGTCGAGTTATTGGAAATGGTTCCGTATTACAAAAGAAACCAGAAAATTCTTAAATATATTATGAAATATTATAATTTTATTACAATATTAATTACACATACCATCATTATCAATACTCCATATAAATACACCACCAAGTTGTTCTGCTTTTGCATATTGTGCCTATATTTACAGTAAAACTTCTCTATTATGAAAATCATTGTTCAGTTATAGTTTGTGATGAAATGAATCTTCTAATATTATTCGCCTTTCTACTTTTGAAGTACTATCAATGTCAATAACATTTAATTCTAACTCATTAATAAATTCAATTTTTTTGCTTACAAAATAAGCTCATATCATTCTTTCTTTTACATGTAGAGCAGTAGTCAAACAATACATAAAATCTACATACTAATAGACAGTAGAAAGAGATGAAAAAAACATTGCACATGTGTTTATAGCATAGATGTCCATCATAGCTGAGAATCTATCGCTGCTGCGCCATCATAGACATCTCTGGTTTACAGTAAAGAGGATATAATAGAGAGAGCAACTGCAAAAACTGCTCTATCGGATCTGAGATTACTCACAATTATAAGATGTTCAATACTCGAGTTTATACTGAGAGATAAAAATTTACTTTAAGTGCTGCCGAATCAACATCTTCATAAGTAATCCATTGATCACCATTCGTCATATACCATGCTTTTTCAGAATCTAACCACACACGTTGCCAATTTTGAGATTGTCCTTTTTCACAAACCTGATCAAATATAACATAAAACAAAATTATAGATATTTTCTTTTTTTGTTCTCATTTTGAAATATGAGAATAATATTAACCTCATAATATGAAAGAAAACCTCGAGTTTTTGTATATCGACCAGGAAAACCTGGACCATTAGCTACAAAAATAGAATAATAAAATATGATTGAACAAAATAAACAAACCAGGTGCATGAAGACTTGTTTGTCTACTTGATAATGTAAATGAACGACCATAAGCTGGTATACCAATAATAATTTTTCCTCGTGATATACCAAGACTAAGCCATAATTTAACAAGACCATCCTATGAAATTCATAGTAAAGAAAATCATCAAAATTATTTATTTTACTTACAACATTACGAAGTGATTCAGCTTCTACTTGATAATGTTGATGAAATAATGGTGCAAATACACCTGTTTTTTCATCCCATGGACCTAATTATAATATATATATATATATATAACAAATATTTTTTTGAATTATATTTTATTATTTATTTACCATAAAAATCAAAAGTCATTAAATTGATATAATCTACAAGACTAAGATGCAAAAAAATATTTATCAATTATAAATATTCTTTTTTTTTTCTTTTATTAATATTACTTTCCAATTTTGTCAATATCATATACTTTTACAAGATTTTCTACAAATGGTGCTGCTGTTAATGTAATTATTGATCGTAACATTAATCGTTTTTGTTTAGCTAGTTCCTAAATAAATAAAAAAAAAAAAAACTTTTTCATTATTTGTTTTTTTTTTCAAAAAGTAACCTCAATTAATGTTGTTAATGCAGCTTTATCTTCTGGAACATCTGCATCAAGAAATTCAAGTGCTATATCAATTCCATCAAAACCATATGTTGCCATATACCTTAAATATATATAAACAAAACAAAAAACTGATTTAATGATTAAATTTAAACAATTAAAATTACCATATAAGACTACGAACAAGTTGTGTAGCCATTTTTGAATGTTTTAAATATCGTGTATATTGAGAAATTTTACCACCTAATCGAATAGATATTTTTAAATTTGGATTTGTTCTTTTTAATAAAGCAAGTTCTCGATAATGTTCTAAAAATAAAATAAAATAAAATTTTATATTAGAAATTTTTTATTTGTTTTTTTTTTTGTTCTAACCAAGATCATCTTTTTGTATTGGTATAATTTCAGGTTTATTTTCATCGACAGTGGCATAAGCATAAATAATATGAGAACACATAAATGGATCAATAAATTCAATTTCAAATTTAGCTTCACCAGATCGATATCGAGACCAATTTGTAACATAACATACACGACGCATTGATGAAGATTCTTCATTTATTGAAGCTAATCAAAAAGAAATAGTCAATGTCTCTATTTAATTAATGGT